AAAAAAAAAAAAAGATAAAAAGGGTTGAAAAACACTGAACTGGTGAATGAGGCTTGCCTACTTTATGGGACTAGGTAATTAGTAAATGATACAATCTTTGTGAATAAGGTCTTTTTCGTTTTTGAAACAGTGATTTCACCTAGTTCATCCAGCCCCAGGGTCTCTATCACTCACTGAGCTTCCTGCAGAGCCTCTGATGCCTTCATCATTTCTCTATTCAAACGATTCCTGGTACTAGAATATAAGCTTTCTGAAAGCCGGGGTTTTGAGTGTCTGATTCCCTCTTGTACCCACTGCACATACTAAGCATTCCATAAATACCTGTTGGGTGGCTAAAAGACAGCAAATGATTTACCGTTGTCGCCGTGCCACAGAATTTGTATGGAAAAAGTAACAAGCCTGTTGGGCTTAATGATACTGCTCTTTGATTGTACAGCATTCTTCATTTTAAAGAACTGCGTCTCTGTGTCTCTGTTTGTAGACATTGCCATCGGGGTGCCCTTTGCAGGCAAGGACCAAAGAGGCCAAGTGCTCATTTACAACGGGAATCAAGATGGTTTAAACACCAAGCCTTCCCAAACTCTGCAAGGAGTGTGGGCCTCCCAGGCCATCCCTTCTGGATTTGGTTTCACTTTAAGAGGAGATTCAGACATAGACAAGAATGATTACCCAGGTAAGGTTTGCTTTCTTTCTGCGAGTGAAATGAGGATCACCCCTCTTGGAAAGGGTCTGTTGTCTGGAAAATGCATCCTGCAGCAAGCTGCTCTCTCCTGCAAATAAAGACCAACCTCAAAGGTGGAGCCAGGATTTTTGTGTGTGATTCCAGAGTGACTGTCAAGAGAATTTAGAGAAAGACAAAACAGACACTCCCTTTCCTGTCAAGAGACAATGATAGAAAGTCAAGATGGCTTAAGAAGCTGCATTGGATGTAACACTTAGCAACCCACGTTTTCATTTGAAACTTCTACATTATTTGGTCTCCGTTCTCAAAGACAAGTCACATTAGACATCTTTCTAGAATGATTTATTTTAACCCTCTAATTCCCTTTTGAGCTCATAGTTGCTATTAATTAACATCTGATCCTCACCATTTCTGTCAGGAAGCTTGAGTCTTTAAAGCATACATATTCTTCAGCCATATTTTGTGGGTTTCCAAAGACAGATTGACTGTTTTAAAGTGGAGGGGTAAAGACAAGAACGGGGTCATGATAGGGATTGTAAACTATTCTTGATTTCCTAATTCTCCTTGAGGGCTTATCATGGAAACCCATAGATCATTAATGTTTTGTGCCTGCTCTGTGAAAATGTGGATTTGTCCTAAAGGATTATTTCAGTAATCAGAGTTTTTAAGCAGAGAACATTAGACTTCTTGGTTTTATGGCTTGATTTTTCACTTTGATGTTGGTTATTTGAAGATGGTTTCAATAAGTACTTAGAAATCATTAATAGTTAAATGACAGCTTCAACTATTTGTGAAAACCTTGTCTCTTTCTGCCAGCCCCTCCCCTAATTGGGAATTTTCCACATGTAGAGCTTTTTTTATGGTTTGAAACAGCAGAACAACAAGCCAACTGCCTAGATATACATCATTAATTTCAATCCTTTGGCTCTCTCTTCTCCTCTGGGGTTAGGCATGAAGGATACCGCAACACATTCTTTTAAATTTGCCAGAAACCTTTCATAACACTAATACAGACATCACAGCAGGCTCAAATCAGATTTGGTTTTATGTCATATACTGATGCTTTCTACTTATGGCAATTTCAAGAGCATTTAGTTAAATTTGTCTTCTTAGTTTATATTACTAATCATTGAAGGTTAGTTGTTTTTGGGGGGGAGGGTTCCTCATTACCTAATCCACGCTAATTTAAAATAATTCAAAACTCTAGGCCCCTTTGTGTCCTACCCCAAATATGTCAGGGTGATTAATGAAATTCAACTCCTAGGTCACACTTTTAGATAAACAGTTAATTAGAAAGTTACTGGTATTCATTATGCCTGTCATAAGCTTCCTTTTCCCAATCTTTAGACCAGGGAACTTGACAGAAAAAAAGGCTGTGCCTTCCACAAGGCAAAGGAAACGAAGGATGTATCCATCAAATAGCCAGTCTGTCCATTTCCCTTCAAGGCTAAACATGTCCCAAACAGGAGCTGGGAAGGACAGTAACATGAAACAATTGTTCCCTCAAGGAGCACTCCCTTCAGGGAGAAAAAAACATAGTAGGTTAGAGAGAAGAATTGAAAGTCCACGCAATGTTAGTTTTGATCATTATTTAATTTTGTCGTTTTCATTCTTTCTTAACACTCAGAAAAAGTTTAATTGGAAGTCATGTGCTAGTCAATCGCCTCATTGCTGATGCTGGTCCACTTTATAGTTATCAGTGATGTCAACGCCACGTGTCTGTCTGTCTCCAGTCAATGTTCTTTCCTATGGCAGACCCGTCACATTGCTGCTTGGCTGAATTCCCATCCCTCAAGAGAGTCAGTCTTTTAGATTTCTTCTGTACATCTTAGTAGACCTGGATTCTGGCCCCGACAGGTGTCTCTTGCAATTCATAATCCAAGAACATTTTCCTCGGATTCTCTTCTTGCAAAAAGAATGGCACTCACAAAGTCTTTTTGTCCTGATACCAAAACCCCAGGGACCTATAGAGAAGAAAACTCCCTGATAGGCAGGGAGATAAACAGTTAATTAAGATACTGGATTTAAAATTTTCAGGCATAATTCAGGAGTCAGACATGAAACTTCCCTCATTTTTCTATAAGTGAATTTCACTTAGCTCTTAAGCCTCCAATTCCAAATGGCAGAAAACTTCAATCTTGCATGTACTTCTAGATTCAGACGTGATCTTATTTGGGTAAGTATTCGTTCACAGTCAAGATTCTCTTCCTCGTCCCTCTGCAGCCACTCTCCCGAGGAATGCAGTAGAAAGGGGTGTCCCTGTTGTCCAGAGACTGGAAAGGAACATCTGGCCCAGGTGTATCATCTGCCATTATTGGCCTGTGGCTGGAGAGCAGCTCTGTCCCTTGTGGTCTTTGAGGTGTTGTTCAGACTTCTATAGCTAATTCCATAGTACACATAGTGACCGCTCCTCAAAAGTTCCCTGTTAAGCTGGGCGTGGTGGCTCATGCCTATAATCCAAACAATTTAGGAAGCTGAGGCAAGGAGGATTGCTTGAGGCCAGGAGGTTGAGTCCAGCCTAGGCAACATAGCAAAATCCTGTCTCTTAGGAAAAAGAAAAAAAGAGAAGGGAAAGGAAGGGAAAAGAAGAGAAGGAAAAAGAAGATAAGAGGAACAAAAAGAAAAGAAAAAGAAGAAAAGGAAAAAGAAAACTTCGGCAATGTGGCACACACCTGTAGTCCAACTACTTGGGAGGCTAAGGCAGGAGGATGGCTGAGCTGCAGTGAGCTAAAGATCCCACCAATACACTGCAAACTGAGCAACAGGGCAAGACCTGGTCTCTAAAAGTTCCCTGTGTCCTGCCTGGAGCCTTCTTGTTCCGTTCTGGCCTCTTGTAGTCCACTCTCTCAGCAAGTGCTCCTGGACCCCTGTAGCAACTCAGATACACACAGATTGGGATCTTTAGGCTTCTGAGACTTCCCTTAGCTTTATCCATCTAGATTTCCTTTGCCTATTGCCAGTTTTCCACCCAGGCATCATCTCGATGTCCCATCACTCAATTGGATCGCAGCCTTCTGATGCCTCACCTGGGTAGCACTGAAAGCTAATTTCCTGAAGGCCGCTGAGCAGCCTGCTTTTAAACGCCGTATCCATTTCATAAACGGTGTGATCTTGTCCTCCATGGTTTGTCTTGGGATTTTCTAAACCAGTCCTTCTTGGAACTTGACAAGAACAACTTTCTTTCTCTCCAGGGTCCTGCTCTTTTCAAATCAAAAGAACTCTGCCTTTTAGATGATTCTTTGCTTTCTGAGTAGTACAATCCATTAGTTGACTTCCTCCTCCCAGACTTATCTAGTCATCCTTACGAGCTGTGGCTCTCAGACTTGGCTGTAAAATTTCCCCTGGGGAACTTTCAAAAACCCACATGCTCAGGTCACCCTCCAGGCCAATTGAATCAGAATCTCTTGGGATGGAGCTTGGGTGATGATGACATGTTTAAATGACCTCAGTGGTTCAGGTGTTTAGCTGTTAGGAACTGGTCCTATAGAGCTGTGGTCCCCAACCCTCAGGCTGCAAACTGACGACCTATTAGGAGCCATTCTGCCCAACAGGAAGTGAGCAGCAGGTGGGGGTGGGAAGCTTCATCTGTATTTACAGCCACTCCCCATTGCACATCACTGCCTGAACTCCACCTCCTGTAGGATCAGCAGCAGTATTAGATTCTCACAGGAGCAAACTGTGCTGTGAACTGCACATGTGAGGGATCTAGATTGAAGGCTCCTTATAAGAATCTAATGCCTGGTGATCTGAGGTGGAGCTGTAATACGCTTGAATCATCCCAAAACTGTCTCCTACTCCCATCCATGGAAAAATTGTCTTCCATGAAATTGGTCCCTGGTGCCACAAGGGTCGGAGACTGCTGCTGTAGGACAGGGTTTTGCCCACTAAAGGTGAGCACCTGCATCTTTATAAAATGCAGATCTGTTTCAGTAGCTCAACTGGGTGGGGTGAGAGTCCCCATTTCTTTCTTTTTTTTCTTTTTTTTATGGAGACAGAGTCTCACTTTGTCACCTTTGGTAGAGTGCCATGGCTTCATGGCTCATGGCAACCTCAAACTTTTGGACTCAAGTGATCCTCTTGCCTCAGCTCCTGAGTAGCTGGGACTACAGGTGCCCACCACAATGCCCAGCTATTTTAAAAATGGGGTCTCGCTCTGGCTCAGGATGGTCTCAAACCTGTGAGCTCAGGCAATCCACCCACCTCAGCCTCCCAGAGTTCTGGGATTATAGGCATGAGCCACTGTGCCTGGTCCTGAGAGTCCCCATTTCTGACAAGCTCCTGGTGTAGCCCTTGCTGCTGAGTCTCATGCCACACTCTGCAGTACGCTGTAGAGTGATGAGATTTACCACAGTGATTCTGAAACTTAGTGTGCATGCTACTTAATCTGTTGAGTCTGCCATGGGGACCCAAGAAGGACACCTGTCCCCTCTATAGGGGACCTCTGAATTGGCCTCCTGAACAGCTTAGAGACATTGAGAATCACTGGTACATTAACAAAGTGTGTCAGATTAATGTGAGGGTACAAACAACTAGGTTACAATGTTTGCATTTATTAGGTAGAGTCCCTTTTGAGATTGTGTCCCACACCCAAGAGGTGTGCCATATACCCTAACATTGTGCCTGTTAAGTGGGAGCGCACCAAACCCTCTTCCCTCTCCACCTCCCTTTTCCCCCCACCTCTAACATGAATTGAATTGAGTTTTTCTCTTATAAGGGTTGGCATGTATTAGATTGTCTACTGGCTTCATAGTAGTATTGAGTACATTCGATACTTGCTTTTCCATTCTTGTGATACTTTACTGAGGAGAATGTGTTTCAACTCCATCCAAGTTAATACAAAAGATGTAAAGTCTCCATCTTTTTTAATGGCTGAATGTGCATAGGCCACAGTCTATTATTAGTCCATTCCTGGATTGATGGGCATTTAGGTTCTTTCTACATCTTGGAGATTATAAATTGAGCTGCAATAATCTAGTGCAATGTCCTTATGA